TAATCTTTCTTTATACCATAATTATGATAATAGCTTACATACATTATAATTATAGTTATGATGATGATATTATGAATGTATGAAGTTATTGTTATGAACCACATATTTATATCTTATATTACTTAGCTTATAAATGCTTTCTTTTGTAGGTACATGTTCGGCCACATCATGGGAGCTGACTTAAAGCTAGAATTGGAGTCAATACGCTAGGAAATCTAACATAGGATGACTCAGGAGATCATGAAGAACAAATGGTGAAAAGTTGTTAGCTGACCCCCGAGCTCATAGCTCACTTGAGCTGGACTTTTGAGCTAGCTAGAGACTTCATTTCAGCTGGAGAGTTGCACCATCATCTTCACCACACAGAGCACTACAAATATGGTCTAGGTTAATTTTTGTGGATTCGTACCTTTCCGCGAAGAGTTGCCATTCCGAGAGGTGCCTTTTCATAAGGAGATGTCCTATGACTTGTACACATGTCCTTCATCTATGGCCAGCTCAACTTCAGCTCAAACTCATGGGAAGTAGCTCAAATGATGAAAGGTTGCTTCACACAAATGTGACCTTTCATAATTAGTTGCTGCCCCATTGATGCCATATCACCTATACACATGTTTGATGCCAAGTCACGCCTAAGTTGTTGTTCATCTTCACGCCATGGAGGAGTCCACGCCTTAAGCATTCTACACAATCCATGTGAGTGTCACATGACCAGCCACCCATGTGCTTTGCATGTGAATGAAATAGGCGCCAAAATGAAGAGGCTTCTCTCTATTCGGCCTAAACATCATCATGCTTCAAGTTGGCGCCAAGATGAAGAGATATAGGAACCATTCGGCCAAAGACATCTCCCCTCATCCAAGCATTATTTATTTTCGTTTTAAGACATGTACTTTGCCGAAAAGGCATGTATTTATTCGACCAAGCCTTTACAAATCTATAAATAGGCTTTGGCATTCATTTGTAAAAAAACCCTTTGATAATACAAACTTTTTGTGAGATTATTCTCTCTTCAAGTTCTTTTTAGAACTATATCGATTAAGCAAGCTTTTCTAAAGTTTGTGGCGTCAATCCCTTCCATTGATACTTTTGGTTCCTAGTTCATATAACTAGAGGGTCAAAGTCCTTACTACCATCCCTTATAGAACTTATAAGAAACGGGTCTTTTCTCCTTTATAGCATTGGTTCCTTCTTAGTTTTATAAGATACTATCTATTCATCACCACCTTCCATCACCATTTTCACGCCTATAACATCACCATAGTCCATCACTTTCTCGCCAACTCTACCACCATTCCAATAACATTTCATCACTATTAAATCATCCTTCATTCATAAACAAAGCATACTTCATCACCACCATTGGAGGCCGAAGTCAACATCACTTGAAGGAGATTTATTCAACACTTCCGCAGCCCATCTTGATAACATTCCTTTCCATTTCTATTCTTTCCAATTCCATTCACTTTTAATTTCTTAATTATCATATTAATTAAACAATTCTTCTTATTTTGTGCAGATTACTTTCAGTCCAAGGTGTAGCATTTGGTGTCTCTCCTAGATCGGGAAACAACAAGGTTGACAACTTCTCCATTATTGAAGAAGCCTGGTTAGCCTTACATCAATCCTACAAAAAGAAAAACTTAACCAAGAACCTGTAATGGAAGTTGTGCAAGAAAGTGGTCCTGATTTAATCCTACCAAATGATAAAAAATCAAGTAGAAGTACAAAGCAGATAATAGGTGCGAACAACAAAATGTTCCCACTGGGCATTTCCAGTGGAGATTCAGAGTCTGCAGCTTCTGTAAATGCTTGTCAAAGTGCTATTCAGGGGGATAAAGAGTCGGTCAATAACGAAAATGATGAAGGAAATATTGATGAAGAATGCAAAGAAGAGGTTCATCAACTACTTCTATCTTCTTCTCAAGAAAGCAATGGTATGAATGAGTAGAGAACAAGAGCAATCAGTGAAGACAGAAAATTGGATAGAGAATAATTTTCATGACGTCGAACCCCTACTTAAAAAGATCGGATATGGATTTAGAGAAAATTACATGGTTGCTAGGGAGAGAGCAGGTGAACAAGTAAATGTGCATAAAGAGATTAAACAACTTGGCTCTAATGAAGATGAAAATGAGCTTGAGTGGATGAAGATGATAGACTTAGAGACATTGTTTTCAGGTCCAAGAAAATGAGTTATCAGGCCGAGATCCCTTTTATTTGATGGATGCTGAAGAGAAACTTGCATTCTTCCAAGGACTGGAGAAGAAAGTTGAGAAAGAAAACAAAAAACTGTCTCACCTCCATGAGTGGCTTCATTCTAATATTGAAAATCTTGATTAAGGAGCAGGTAGTTGTTCTAATGACACAATCATTTCATTATTTTCTCTCTTGAAAAAGAAATATTTCACCATACAGTTAAATCTTTGTTTATAGCGGCTCCAGTTTATGACTTATGATTCATAAATCTAGAATCCTTCTTCAGGCAAATTGTCTCCTGTACTTGCATCTTCTAAGTAGAACAGCTCCAAATTTGTTCCGATTTACTGATTGTTATTACTTGGTGTCTTTAGACATAGAACTTAATGGCAATGAGGGTCATAGAATCTTTTTCTTCTAGATGGTATCACCCTGCATGATCCGCTAGAAAAAATTATACCACGCTGGAAGGGACCCCCATTAGAGAGAAGTCCCGAGTTCCTCAGCAACTTCCAAGAACAGCGTAAAGCACTTTTTAATGGAAAAGCTGGTACGGCATACCCAACAAAAGGAGATGGACAAAGTTTCCTTCAGAAACCCACAGTAACTGAATCCCTCATTAATGGAGATTTAGCTATTTCTTCTTCCGAATCAGATTTGAGGAGTGAAATTCATGATGCAGATAAAAAAGACCCCAGGATAGCTATCGAAGGCCATGATGGCTCTGTCAAACCAGGTAAAAAAACAGGGAAGGAGTTTTGGCAGCACGCGAAAAAATGGTCTCCTGGCTTTTTGGAATCTTATACTGTCGAGACATGGGGAAGGATTTAGACCAATGGATCACTGAAAAGGAGATACAAGCAGCAGCAGATTTGATGAAGAAGCTTCCCGAGAGGAACAAAAAGTTCGTGGAAAAGAAACTCGACAAACTTAAGAGAGAAATGGAATTATTTGGACCACAAGCTGTTGTGAGCAAGTATCAAGAGTATGCAGAGGTGAAGGAAGAAGATTATTTATGGTGGTTAGATCTTCCACATGTACTGGAAAGAATTTGCGTTATCTCTTTGCACGAGTGTATGGTTCCCGAATATTATTCATAAGGTTTTTTGTAGTATGTTTCTAATAATGCACTTTTGTTGCCTATGGTACTGGTTATTGAACACAGTCTAAATCTTATGTTTATTTCCCAGTGTATCAAATTATACACATTTGAAAACGAGGATCATAGAATAGGATTTTATGCACTGGAGATGACAACAGATCTTGAACTGGGACCAAAACCACACCATGTGATTGCTTTTGAAGATGTTGATGATTGCAAAAGCTTCTGTTACATCATGCAGGCTCACTTGGATATGCTAGGAAATGGCAGAGCCTTTATTGTTCCACAGCCACCTAAGGTAAAATTTTGATTGGTTCTCCAATGAAATATGATCAACCATATTCAATTTTATATAAAAAAAGGGACTTCAAATGTTAAAAGATTGCCTGAGAAAACCAATATGACATTCTATATCCTGATCTGATAAACTGAAATTTGACCTAAAATGCATTAAGAGGTGATGGTAATTCTATTATATTTTTGCATTCTCCTTTGTTCCTCTTGAGGCTGGAATGATTTCTGGTTCTAATTGTTAATCTGTTTTAGGATGCTTTTCGAGAAGCCAAAGCAAATGGTTTCGGTGTAACCGTGATCAGGAAAGGGGAGCTACGGTTGAATGTAGATCAAACTTTGGAAGAGGTGGAAGAAGAAATATGCAAGATCGGGAGCAAGATGTACCACGATAAGATCATGCGTGAACGCTCTGTGGATATAAGCTCTTTGATGAAGGGCGTGCTTGGCGCTGGTGATAAACCAGGAGGTAATTTCTGGTCTTCTCTGTGTGTTTTTCCCTAACAAAATAACGCTAGTGGGAGATGGTAATTTGGTATTTGACATGGCTGATGGTACAGACATAGATGTGTTCATAATACGAGTGTGCTATTTGTGTTATTTTAATGTATATTTTTTTTTCCAGAAGGTCAAGAAGAAGCTTAAAAAACCTTCCAAGAAATGTTCCGGGTCATTGAGGTTTAAGGAAGTTGAATTCTTTAATCTCTTCCCCAGTCTGTAAAGTTTCATTCAAATATAAAAGCTTTCAGGAAATCTGTCTGCAACTTTGTACGGCATGCTCTTCATATTAACCAGCCGCTCGTGTTAACAAATAACCAAGACCGGCTCCCTTATATGGTTTTTTTTTAGTAAAAATCATTTTGGAAGAATTTTACTTATCTAAAAGAAATGGATTGGACTGCATATATTTGAATGTGCAATCCAAATTATCATATCCACTGGCAAATGGATGCTTTCCAATGATGACACTTTTTCCATGTTTAAGGGTCCTGGGATTATGAAGGGTTGATGGATCTGACTAAGTACATTGTTTGTTTGATCCATGAGTGTGATGAACTTGAAGTTCCTTGCCAATGTAAAGCTCCCAACTGCCGAAATATATGAATTAAGGGTTGTCGAAATATACTCCCATTTATCTCTTACAAGAAGAATTAAAACTCCGCTAACTGAAACAAATGAGAAATCCCAGTTTTGTAGACATCCACCATTGAGCATATGTAACTCTTTTTCAGTAATATGTAAATTTACCTGCTACTAGGCTGGCGGCTTTCATAGTAATAGAAAATAACGGTGCACTATACCTCTTACAATATGAGCCATCTAGTATAACCATGTTTATTATAGCTAGCGAAGATAACAATTTACAGAAATGATCTCATCCTTTTACCGGAACAAGTAAATCAAAGATGTACCTCACGGAACTACGACCCCGGAAACACAAGATTACGAACAAATGATCCACATATTCTCCAAATAAAATTAAGGGTCTGATAACCATAATCTGAAAATTTACCACTAAGAACTTGGCTACTTTCCTGTTTGTTGACTGCTATTGATTTGATCACAAGCAAAAGTTACACTGCTTAGATGTTCAGATTTGCTAACAATTCAATTTTCAAAATGCCTACTGAAAAGATGTCGAATCTTGTTCTTGTTGCCATCAATTTTAACAAGATAAGCTTACAAGACTCACCTTGAGCTAGGATTTTTTATCTTCATCGGATGGAGAGAACGGCTGTTCAGGGACAGAATCAACAAAATATTCCTCCACTGAAACAAGTTGAAGTTATCAGTGTATTGTCAAACACATTAATACACCCAGTATCTTTGAATGGGAAAATGTCAAAAACCAAAATATTTTAATCCAGTTATGCTCATGGAACTAAAATGGGAAGACTCAAACATAAAAAACCAACATATTTAAAAGAATATATATTATTATTTTTAAATAAATATAATTATTTGTGTAATTAATAATTAAAAGGGCACCGTATGGATACTATTGTTAATGGTACATGAAAATTGAATCAAATCAAAGCCCCATATATGTAATTACACCATATCAACCCTCCATATTAGTTATACGAGCATAATTTTGTGATTCAAGGCTAAATTCAATCGTAACTGAGTGCATGAAAGGTCGTGTAAACTCCTATTCTAGGTCAGTCAAAGCATCTCATTTAGTAAACATCAGTATGCAACCTCATTACCTATATTATCTTGCTCAGAAGAATCAAGCAAAATTTCTGAATCAGAATGAAGAAAAGGAGAACCAGGGTAGTTCCCGAGAGCACCTAGATCTGTAACAATTCCAAGGGCCACACATTGTAAGTACAAGCTCAATAAAGAGAAACACCAAATTGAACAATAAGAAGTAGCGAGCATGCTAGGTTCCTGGAGTGATGGTTTCCAAGGCCAATAATAAAGCAATTCACAAGTTATTAAGAGCAAAATGCTGAAAAACAAATACAAAACTTAAGTCCTCATATATGTGTGTGTGTGTGAGAGAGAGAGAGAGAGAGAGATCACAAACTTAAATACAAAAGTTTAACTGGCTATCTCAGTGTGGGCATCATAGCCACAGCTTACCTCCTAAGTTTGACAAGTCTGCAGTGAGATCAGTGAGACTGAAATTCCACTGAATCTGATCAAGTGATCTAAAGGAATCCCTAGAATTCCCAGCTCCATTATCATGTCCAAGCTGCAATCCTACTGAACTTGCCACGTCCGTTGTGAAGGCTGAATCAAGTGCTGATGTATCTACACCCATCCCTGACATGTCTGAAGCAGTGAAGGGAAAACTCCCACTGGATGCCACTGATTTACAGCTCACAGGCATCTCTGACATAGATGAAATGACAGTGGTTGGAGGAATTGCAGGTGTTACATCACTGGCAGTGTTGTCCATCACCGTGGTAGAATAAGGAAATCGGTTATCATTAGCATAACGGCGAAACAAAATTTTGGTTTATGAAATTACAAAAATCCAAGATAATGTGATAAGGACTAAATATTTTAACATTATTTAAGAATGTGGTAGTAAAAGTTATGCATAGAGATAACCTAAAACAGTTTAGGATTAGAGTTTAACAGAATGGAGTTAGTTTATGATACTGTAATATAACCTTAACACGACCATGCATTTTTGCAAATCTGATCAAGTAGTTCCTGAACATCTCAACCAGAAAAAGACAAAAGAATGCAGCAAATAATAATAAAATCATAAATTTGGCAAGTTATTTTTCACGAAGCAGCATAACTTGTGACATGAGATAATGAAAATATAGAACAGCACCTTCAGAATTACCGCCAAGTAAATATTTGTATGTTTAGTAGCCAATTAATAGTGGATCAAAACAAGGATTGTTAAGTTCTCACTCATTCCCAGTACTCATCCGCATAGGTTGAAAATTGCTGAGTGCAGGGACTCCGTTGACCACACAACAACTAGATATACCCATGGAGTCGATATGAAGTTGCCCCGTAGCTGGAATTGGAGGTTGTTGAAGCACAGGGTATCCCATGGGTAAGTTGTTAACTGCACTGCAAAAAGTGGCATTGAATAACCACAATAGAGACCGTGTCTAAACTTAAAATCATGATCATTTTACACTGTAACTGAAGTAATTGAGGCAAGGCGTGTGTCCCTTTTTTATTTAGTCAGAACTCTTACCAGGCATGGGATGAATCCCATTTTGTATTGGGGCAAGAGGGACCATTGGAGGCAGGGGATATTTCATCATATGATATTGATGCTCAAGAAAATGGTTAAATAAAAGGATTTGTTTCTTTAACTTTAGCCTTATATAATAGGCCCTGAAAAAATCGGCATTTTCCTCTTCCAGCTTTCGCCATACTGAATAAACAAGAATAGCAAAGAGAACAGTGTGAGGTTTCCCACTCTCTAACAGGGTTGAATAAGAAATATACTTGATTGGCAGCTTAGACTTGACTAGTTCGAAGATGTCGCTATAGTAGACTGGTTTTCATTTTCATTTTATAGCATGCTCTATTTTATCACTAGCATATGCGCATTCTATTGAAAATCCCAGATAACAAACACATATTAGGACTAATAAAAGATTTCAGGAAGCATACCTAAAGTTGTGAATCCAGGGTCTATCCTCGCTCGAGTCAATAGGGTTTTGACAACCTCGTCTCTATTCATGTACAGTTGTAAACATCGTTCAATTAAATTCTGGACCTGGAACAACCATTTTACATGAATTGTGAATCACTAATTAGAAAACAGATAAATAAACATCAAAAGGGAAAAGAAATAAAAATGAAATATAAGAAAGAACAGGTTTCCTACAAGTTCTATATCTTGGCGTGAAACTTTTCGGCCATCATTGCTTGAAGTAGATAAAGAGCCAGAGCCATCTGCTGTTTGACTGCTCTGTTCCGTTTTTGGTTCATGTGAAGCTTGACTTGACGGTTTTTTATCTTGTGCGGTCTGTAATCAAATATAATCTATCAAGTTAGTGTCAAGGAAGAAAATGATAAGCAGATTCATGCACCGAATAAACAGACTGAAAGTGTAAGCAGTTCTTCTCTGTGTTGATTTGGGAGTAAAGACCACTTACAACTTGACAAAGTGGCTACTTAGCTGACACAAAAGAGATCAATTATATATACAAATAATTACTTTTGAAAGAGAAAAACACCTGTAAATTCTTCATTCCAACAAAAAGCCAACCGCCTGCATCTATTTACACACCACGGAGCCTCACACACTCCCCCACTTAAGGCGACTTAATTCACGAACATCAAATCCTGGCATCTGAATAAATCATATCCTCCCTGAGAAGAAGTTTACAACACAAGGCCGTGAATCAAGCACTGTGAAGAGCACATATCCTGATTGAAATATTTGTTCAAAATGAAACAGGAATTGAGGAATATAGCCCCATTGGCACTGATTGAGATTAGGATCTTTTACCAAAACAAAGAAACATACCGCTTTTAGCTATTTTCAAGTTCAACTAATTTCCCCACATAAAATAAGTTTATTTATTATTTAAGTGCAACCAATCACATTGATCAAACAATCATAATGTTAGACGAGAATCAATTCCAAAAGCATCCTGCTAGTACTAACTACAGCGTAACCACAAAGCAAAGGAAAAAAAAAAGAACTAATAAGTTATTCATTACATAGAAATCATTAATAACAACTTCTCTTGATTCTTCTCGTGGTTTTCAAATGCAAGGTATGCCACAAGCAGAATCAATTCCACGGTTTATTAAAATGAAGAAAAAGGGTTTCAGCTTTTAATCTAATCAAACAGATCTAAGAATAAGTACATGAACTAAGCAAAATTGCAAGATGCACATTCTATCTAGCTTTAAAAAGAAGATGAAAAGCCTTTCTGGGTATCATTTTGAAAGTCCTTCACAGCTTTTTCAAAACAGATTTCCCTTTTAGATAACGAACAGCAAGTACTAAAATACAGCCAATTCTAAAATAAAGAAAAATTCTGGAAAAAATGTTATGGTACTAAACTAAAATTAACAAGTATAAATAAGAAATCGAACCAAAAACTCTAAACCAGAAGAACTAAAACATGAAACAAATAAAGATCTAGTTAAATTTACCTTAAAATCAAAGTTACAGGCTCTTGAGAACCGATGTTTTTATTTCAACAATCTCAGAGATCCAATCATAAACTTAAGAAATACAGAAAAAGAAAAATGCTTGGCCAAAAATTTACTGTATATCCAGTTGAGACGAATATTCTCGACTGTAACCGAAGTGCAAAGATATTTACAGCAAAATAAAAATGGAAAATTCCTTTTGAATTTGTTAAAAGAGATGACCGGAGCAGTAATGAAGTTTTATGGAAGATTTGGCCGTTGATTTTTATGTTTTATTATCGTTGTTGTTGTCAGTTTACAACGAGAGCTAAAGTGGGAAAAAGGAGGAAAGAGAAACGCAGGGAAAACCAGAGGGAAGAAATGTGGGGAATCTCACCCAACTTTGGCATTTTACAGTTTCGATTTTTCTAGGGACAAAATAATATATATAGGATTCTATGAATTAAAAAGGAAAGTTTTGAAATTCTGACACGGCTTCAACGGCTCCGGTCTCCCTTGACATAAGATCTTTATTAATCTCGGTTCACGAGGCTGTCGTGATTAACTAACCATAAACCCTCCTCTTTGGTTTTATGAATTTGATTAGCTACCGCTTTCGGTAATAAATAAATTGTTATTATATTTTAAAATTTTGAGATTTAGTATAAAAATATTAACAATCTGAAGGTTCAGTGATAAATAGTTAAAAATTATCTTTAAATATATATTATCATTGACTTGCCTTATATTAATTAAAATAAAGAATTTGATTAGATTTTTATGAATCAAAGGTCTATTAAAAATATTAAGAGTAAACCATAGCTATAATCACTTCATTATTATCTCTTTTTTATTTTGATAACTATTTTTTAAATTTTATCAATAAAATCACATAATTATTAAATGTTGTCAAATGAGCATGACAAATCGAGCCTGGGACATAAAGGAAGTGGGATGCACGTAGGGATGACAATTTAATTCGAATTTGACCTTTTTGACTCGACCCAATCTGATAGGATCGGATTTAAAAAAAGTAGAGTCAAGTCAATTTTTTAAGAGGTGAGATCGTGTTCAAGTTGAGGTAAAAACTATTATCCTATTCGACCCGACCCGAGGATAATAATGTAATCTTCGTAAAATTTATTTTTTAACTAAATTCTTATTTTTATCAGATTGAGTCAAATTTATACTCTAAAAATTCGAGGCGGTCGAATCAGATTGAATTAAAAAAAATGACCCGTTGACGACCCGTGACGCACGCCTCTACCACTAAGACAAAACCCATTGCTAAATACGAATCAAAACCTTTTGATATATCTTATAAGATGTGGTGGGTTTAGTAATGAAGAGGTTATCACACATTTCATGTCAATTTCTTGGCTGATTGAAGGGGTCTGTTAGCATCCAACAGAGCCTGGTCTGTCAATGTTATTTTTCACGAGTTGTTGATCATTTAACAGCTCGAGAATGTAACATCCTAAACTACGGGTTAGTGACTAAATTGTAAAATTTCATAATTTGGTGATTAAAGTAGAAAAGTTTAATAGTTTAATGACTTATTTGAAAATATTCCTTGAAGGGTTATTAGTAAATATTAAAGGAAATAAAGGGTAAAATGATCATTTGACATTAAAGATATTTTTCTCCCCTTTAATAGGAGATAAACACGTAGGGGGAAGAGTGAGATGGAAAACTCTCTTCTTCTTCTTCTTGCTTTCTTCTTCCATCGTGAACCAAGGGAGCAAATGTGAGTTTTCTGATTTCTTGATTTTTTGTTGATTTTAAGTATGAGTTTTGATCCTTAGGTGATACTTAAGCTTAAGGAAAGCTTAATCATCTTAAAATCAAAAGATGAAGAAGTTATGAAGGATTAAGGAGAATGGGTTTCTAAATGAATTTTTGAAAAATAGTTAATAAAGGAACTTTGAGATGAAATTTGACTTGTCCTTCATAAGAATAAGAGATTTATGGAATTAGAAAGGATTTATAACAAAGTTGAAAGTTTAGTAAGATTCTTAATTTTGAGAATCATGATGAGATATGAAAGATAATGATGGTTTATATGGATATAAGTTTACGTTAGTAAAGGTATTTGAGTTTAATTGCATGATAGAAGCTTAAAATGGAAGATTTAGATGAGTATTGGTGAATTTTTGGGTTTAAACAATAAATTTTGGGTTGAGATTAAGTTGACAGATTATGTAGGGGGTACCGATACCCTAAGGAGGGTATTGATACCCTGAAATTTCGAATGCAATATGGGTATCGATACTACCTTAAGATAAAGTGAAACTAAGCATTCTTTTAGTCTAAGAAATAAATGATCGAATCATAATAATTGAAATATTGATATGGATATTATATGTATGATTGTATAGATATTAAGCACAAGAAAGTTCATGAACAACCGCAAAGATAGGATCGATTCAAGAGAGAGAGAAATCATAGAGGTGGAGTTGGTAATTAAGTAAGCCTAAGGTGAATGCAATTTAATTTGTACTTATGTTATCGAACAAACATTGGCTTGCGATGAGCCAGTGACGGAGTTACTATGGTAAGAAGTGACTCCTATAATGTTTTGTGATTTGTGATTTTTATGTGTGCATGAGTACATGAAAATGGGTATATATGTCATATGTTATTATATGTGATACTGAATTACATGAAATGGATGATCATATGCACATGTGATATGTGATAGAATATATGAGTACATGAATATATGAAGCATAAGAAAAATGCCCATGTTATATGATACGAGAACTATAGGTATAGTTAGCATGCCAAGAGTCGAGGGTCTATGCGGTCCTTCGAGACATATACATTATACAGAGGTCCTTCGGGACAAATACATAGGTTTTTTGGGACAAATTTCACATGCCCCTAGTGGGAACTCATACGAGTTGTGGTGACAACATAAGTGCACAACCTCAATGTACTCGAATACCTTAAGCTCTCAGTAATGTACATGGGCCTATAAAAGATATCAAAAGTGTTTGCATTATTATATGATGTTTTGTGTGTTTCTTTGTGAAATGATATATGTGTTATATGATATACCGAAATGATAAGTATAAGATCATATGATAAATGGGTTAATGATAATGATAGAGATCGTGATAATGATGTTGATGTTGATAAGGATGGTATATATATGTATGTATGCATTCTGTTATATGAAATGTTCTATGGTTTCTATTATATGTTTTATATGCCTCACTAAGTCAAAGACTTAGCGTGTGATTGTTTCACACGTAGGTTCTGAGAAGAGGAAGACTGATAAAAGTTAAGCAAGACATGTCAGTTTTTCCTTTCCAAAGATCAGATCATAAAAGAAATGAAAAGTTTGTATTTTGTAATACTAATTGTAGTTGGCATGTAAATAAAGGTTTGAATCTGATATGTTATAATCGGTTTTGTAAAATCATATGATCTAGTTTGTAATGTTTTAAAACATATAAATGTAAATGGTAATCTTTATGGTGATGAAAGTTTAATTTTATGAGTTTTATATAAGTGGACCGAAATTACTGTAACAAGGGTATCGGTACACTGTAGCAGGGTATCGATAATACTGTAGCATTCTGGAAAATTTTAGCATTCGATACTGTTCACGGTACTGTTCATACTGTATAGTATTGTTCATAAAAACGTTTCTTTCTTTAAATTTGTTATAACGAACATAATTCAACAATATATTATCGTATTTTCTTAATATAAGTCCAAATGTTTTGTTATTTTGTAAGAATATTGTTTTAAAAAGTCAATGTGACATCTCAGACTCGTATCCGGGTCGGGTACGGGTTGGGGTGTTACAGAGAATGTCAATCACCAATTTTTATATCGTTAACCATTACAATGCTAATATGATAGTTTACAGTGATTGATGACATAATAGATAACGTGATAGATAAACTAAATTGATTTTTCGATCATGTTTGAGGGCCAAAGTGATTATTTAAAAAAAGTGTATGGAATTATTTAAATTTTGAAAAAATGTATATCTTAAATTTTAAATACAAAAATATTAAAATATTCAAAGAAATAAATATAAATAATATTAAAAATTAAAATTAAATTGCTAAAAAATAAATATATATTAAAAATATGATTATTTAAAAAAAATACATATCATAAATTATAAAATGATAAATTATAAATTATTTAAAAATAAAAATATTTAAAAAAAAGGATATATATACCATTAACACTTATACAAAGTATTTTTACTCGATCAGTCGAGATTTACAAATTTTATATTCAAATATAGCTAGATTTTGTATCAATGTGAGTAAGTTATGACGTTTCTTAGCTAGATTTTGATATAAAATTTTTAAGTCTATACTAATCCAATCATAATACTTTGTATAAATGTTGATTTTTTTAATGTATAGTATGGATAGTCAAAATACCCGAACTCAACGGGTCCCGACCCAACCTGACCTTGTAGTGGATTTTTAAAAAAATAAAAAAATCGGAGCTCGGGGGCAAGGCAGGTTATGGTATAAAATTTTGGGACGGGACGAGGGTGGATTAAGGTGAAAAATCACCGAGTCGGCCCAACCTGATTAATTATATATATATATATATATATATATATTATATTTAATTTTTTAAGAAATTTTATTTATATTATTAAAATATATTATTTAATTAATAAAACTATAAAATACTATTAAATATATTAATTCAATAATTTTAAATATATTAAATAATTATAGATATATTATTATAAAATATATTATTTTACTTATTTTAAAAAATTAATATATTCATATCGGGTCGGGGTCTGGTTTTAGTCTAAAAATCAGAACGTGCTTGGGGTGGGAAAAAACCTAAAATTCATTGGAGCGGGATGAGATCAGGCTTTATGTATATATTTTCGGAACTGGGTCGGAGCTGGCTGACCTGCCCCACCCCATGCCCGTCCCTATATAAATGTTGATATATAACTCTACGTTACATGAATATATTACGTACGATATATGTTTTTTTAATATTTTTAAGTTTTAATAATTTATTATTTATTATTTTATAGCTTATGATATTATTTATTTTTTTAACAAATAATTTTTTTAGTATTTTTTAAAGTATGTATTTTATAGCTTATGATATATCTAATTTTTGAATATTTTAAATTTTAAATTTAGGATTAAGATACTTTTAATTTTTTTAAAACTAAATAATCCCTTAATTTTTAAAAAAATTTAATTTTGCCCTTGAACATTATCAAAAAATCATTTTAGTCCATCTGTCACGTCATATATTACGTTAACTGTCACTATAAACCGTCACATCAACACTACAAATTATCACATCAGGTTATCAGAATCATAAAACGTCATGCTAACAACATAACAATCAACGGAAAAAAATGTTAATTAAAGAACTCGGTTATGTTTATTTTTTAAGTTA